ATCATTTGATATGCATCAGTTAATATGGTTATTTTCTAAATGAATTAATAATTTTATCTGCAAGTGTCAAAAAGTAGTAAAAAAAAAAATCCCCAGAGACCAATTTCTTATATTTCATATACTATCCAACCAACAGTGCAAAGACAAATCAACCAATGATCACATTTAAGAGCCAGAAACTAGCACAAGATCACTTTTTAATTCCAAACCTAAGTTGAGATCTACCATCCTGAGTTCTTCCAAAAAACCCACTGAGGAGGCTCAACGTATGAGCATAAATATACACAAAGAAAGGCAGTTGTGCAACTTTATCTCTCACAATATTCACATTAATATCAATTCAATGCACAATATTTAGCTTCTCAGTTCAACAATACGTTTTGGAGAAAACTATTGTCCTGTGTACTCAAATAAATACCAGTACTATGCAGTATGAAGCCGTGCATCTTCTGCTCCTGCAAATAAATTAAAAAAAACCTTTTCAAACTGTCTGTCAATGGATTTGGTCAACAGAAGCCCTGGAGTGCTGTTATTTTGAAATGACTACAGAAAGTGTTGCAACACTTCATGTTCAAAAATTCAGCAGATAAGCAATCAAACTCAGGTGAAAGATAATTTTCTCTGTTTATTCTGCTGTGAACCACAATGATTATCAGTCTATGACACAAACGTATTTCCAACGCTTCCTGAATCTGTTTCAAGTTAAAGGGTTAGAGTTACTAACTACAGTTCATAAGTGATCACAACTAGATACTGAGCAATTTCCTGCTGATGATGTAATCGATGGATTCACTAAGTAACTTTCGCTTTACGGGGAGGCAGACACAGAAAACATCCTCCTCTCTGTTTTCTGTCCACAGTCAGTTTGATGGGCAAGATTGAGAGGAAGGTGCCGGTGGGGCAGAAGCAGGCAGAGGTGAAGAAGGAGAGGAAGGTGGTGAGGAAGCTGTTCCCCAACTCGTACCTGTTCAGTAAGTGGGGGCACGAGCTGTCAGAGGAGGAGCAGAGGGAGGCGGAGAAACTGTTCAAGAGGTACGGATACAACGCCTTCCTCAGTGACCGACTCCCCCTCAACAGAGAGATCCCTGACACCAGGCCCCACAGGTGACCCCCACCTCCCCCATTATCTCTACACACCCATGTACACACACAATCATGTTTACACACACAATCATGTTTACACACACAATCATGTTTACACACACAATCATGTTTACACACACAAGCCCACACACAATCATCTTTACACAAACAATCCTCTCTAAACACACAAGAACACACCTGAAAATCTCTACACACGCACATGAACACATGTTCCCCGTCACAGGTGTGCTGAGAAGAAGTACCCAGCGGATCTGCCCACCATCAGCGTGGTGCTAATCTACCTGGATGAGGCTCTGTCTGTCATCAAAAGAGCGATCCGCAGCATCATCGACAAGACCCCGGCTCCTCTCCTGAAAGAAATCATACTGGTGGACGACAACAGCAGTAACGGTGAGAGACAGAATCTTGTTTGAGGCTGTGGGAGATTTTTCAGAGATACAGGCTGCTGTGAATTTGTTTCCTCCATATTATTTTAGCTGTCAATCCCATGGTATCCACGCCCCAGAGCATGCAGTGCTTTCATTTACAAAATGAACATCATGAGATTGATAAACTTCTAAAATCTTTACTGACGTTATAAATCAAGTGAGAAGTTAACTTCTATATACTGACCCTTGTGTTGCCCTCTGCTGGTCATTCGAGAGAAGACAGGTTTAAGGCACTCCCACGTTGGCTTCACTTTCCAGACCTGGAGTATAAAACGTCAATTTTTATAAACAGTCTGTGGTTTGCCCCCGCTTCCAATGTTAATGCTACGCTAAGCTAATTACCTCCTGGCTGTACACATTATATTGAATGTTTCAAATTTCCCCAAATATTAAACAATTCTTT